GCCTGTCCGAGCGTCCGTGCAGTGGGTCACCCGCTGACTCGCAGGAGTGAACTGGTGAACCCCCGCATCCTGTAGGTCAGCACCACTCACCAAGTTCGTAGAGAACGAGGGGAGGTAGAGACCAGACAGGGTGCCAGAGGGGGCCGCCGGACACGGGAGGACAGTGGAGAAGTGAGCAAGGACAGGACCCCCAGAGGGGTCTGCCAGGGAGACCGCAACTGGCCGGCCAAGCGGCGTGAGTGTGGTGCGGTCTCGAAAGAAGGAGCGAGAAGCCCCCGAGTCAAGTGTGAAGGTGTGGGAGGCCGAAGCCGACGCAGAACCTGAGAGAGCAGACTCACCAGCACCTGAGGGAGTAGACGCACCTAGAGCAGCAGCCTCGCTAGCACCTAGAGCAGCAGCCTCACCAGTACCTAGAGCAGCAGTCTCAATGCCCGGGTCGGGCGGAAAACACCGGTAACAGTCACCCTCATCACTAATAGTCACAGTATACACGGCAGCAAGAATAGCATCAAAGTCAAGGTCAAAGACAGCTACACCCGCCCTAGACAGCTCACCCCAGCGGGGGATCTCAGTGGCCTCAGGGAACTGGTGACGCCAAGCGTCCGTCAGGCGGCCAAAGCAGCGCTGGGTGGAGTGCGCACCCCCGCACTGCTCACCCGCGCGGTCGCCGGTGTGCAGGACGTAGGTGCACGGACCAGCACCCCCACCCCTCTGGCGTGCAGTGTACCACTCACGGAGCTGCTGAGGGGAGGGGACGTCACGAGTGCGCTGCTGCTGCTGCTGCTGCTGCTGCTGCTGCTGCTGGCGCTGACCACCACCGGAGCTGACCCTCTGCGCAGCGCCACCCCGACCAGCTCCACCTCCTCCGCCGCCTCCTCCTCCACCGCCGCCACCTCCGCTCCCTCCGCCACCGCCGCTGCCTCCTGCGCCTCCACTGCCGCCACCTACACCTCCACCCCCGCCACCACTCCCACCGCCACCACCACCTCCTCCACCACCTCCACCGCCGCCTCCACCGCCCCCGCTAGCTCCTCCAGCGCCCCTGCCCCCTTTGCCCCTGCCAGGGCGGCGTCTCCCGCTAGGGGTAGACGCTGCCCCAACCGACTCCAAACCAGCGAGGTCAGCCGCAACAGCAGAGGCAACAGAGGGCAAAAGAGGGGAGGGGGAACACCCCTCAAAGATGGGGGTGCGAGGGTCACCACGAGAGGCTCCTACAGCGACTATGCTCTTTTCTGCTGCTAGGAGGGCCTTCTCGAGGAGGTCAACGGTGAGAGTGGTGGGACAAACCGAGAGGAAGTGGTCCCTGACTACGCGAAGGGAGTCAGGGAGACGGGTGACGATGTAGTAGAGGGTGATGTACATGGGGGGGGGTTCTTGGCGCAGAACTCAGCAGGAAGCGCAGCGCGGTAGCGAGTGTCACTAGTGCGGAGGTGCGTGATGAGGTCAGCGACTGTGGGAAAGGCAGCAAGGTCAGGGAAGAGGTACGGTAGCATGAGGCGGCTCAGTGCAGCAGTGGTAGGGGAGGAGTAGCGTGCAACTACAGCGTCGTACAAGGTCTGAGCACTCTTGTACTGGCTAAAGTGCGCACGCTCAGAGGTAGGCAGGTGGCGACGCACAGCAAGACGTGCAGCAGCATCGCGCGTGGCCCACTGGGAGCGAACAGTTGCGTCAGCATCAGTGGCGGGAGCAGGAGAGGCACCAGAAGTGAGGTCAAAGAGGGAGAGGCCGTCTGCCCTATCGCACTGTAAGAAAAGCTGTAGGTCATCTATCCAGACGTCAAAGTCAATGGCCCGACCCTCAGCGTCAAACGCGAGGACACTAGGGGTAGCCATGACAGTAGTAGACTAGCAGTGCAAACAGTGGGGTGAGGGCAGTGCTGTGAGAGAGGCGCTGCTCTTACCGGACAGGGCGGCTCGGGCGGCTCGGCTGCAGGGCGGCTCGGCGACTCGGCTGCTGGGCGGCTCGGCTGCTGGGCGGCTCGGCGGCTCGGCTGCTGGGCGGCTCAGCGACTCGGCTGCTGGGCGGCTCGGCGGCTCTGCTGCTGGGCGGCTCGGCTGCTGGGCGGCTCGGCGGCTCGGCTGCTGGGCGGCTCGGCGGGGCCGCTGAGAGGGCGGCGTCCGGGGCCGCTGGGAGGAGGCGGCGGGGCCGCTGAGAGGAGGCGGCGGAGCCGCTGAGAGGAGGCGGGCCCGCGTCAGGGGCCGCGACAGGGGCCGCGTCAGGGGCCGCGTCAGGGGCCGCGGCAGGGGCCGCGTCAGGGGCCGCGGCAGGGTCGCGTCAGGGCGCCGCGTCAGGGGCCGCGTCAGGGCGCCGCCAGGGGCCGCGGCAGGACCGCGTCAGGGCCGCGTAAGGGGCCGCGGCAGGGGCCGCGTCAGGGGCCGCGTCAGGGCCGCGTCAGGGCCGCGGCAGAGCCGCTTCAGGGCCGCGTCAGGGGCCGCTTCAGGGCCGCGGCAGGGGCCGCAGCAGGCCGCGTCAGGACCGCGTCAGGGGCCGCGGCAGGGCCGCGTCAGGGCCGCGGCAGGGGCCGCGTCAGGGCGCTGCGTCAGGGGCCGCGTCAGGGCGCCGCCAGGGGCCGCGGCAGGGCCGCGTCAGGGCCGCGTCAGGGCCGCGTCAGGGGCCGCTTCAGGGCCGCGGCAGGGGCCGCGGCAGGGCCGCGTCAGGGCCGCGGCAGGGGCTGCGTCAGGGCGCCGCCAGGGGCCGCGTCAGGCCGCGTCAGGGCCGCGTCAGGCGCCGCCAGGGGCCGCGTCAGGGCGCCACCAGGGGGGCGCGTCAGGGGCCGCGATAGGGCGCCGGCAGGGGCCTCGTCAGGGCGCCGCCAGGGGCCGCATAGGGGGCGCGTGGGAGGCGGCGTAGGGGCCGCGTAGAGGCAGCGTAGGGGCCGCTAAAAAAAAAAAATTAGGGCAGGGCGCAATGTGCGCGGGCAGCTAAAAAAAAAATTCTTATGGTGGGCCCTTAGGAAGGAACGGTCCCATGTAGGAACCCGCTCTATACCATGTCAGAATCCAGAAAAACAGGAATGAGAATGACTAAGTGAAAGTTGGGTACAAGAAGCAAACCCTAGAAAACTGTACCCCATATGTGCTACCCCACTCTAGCCTACAGTAGCTATGTCATATAAATCTGACATGTTTGATTCCGTAGAGAGATTTCTGGAGTAGGCACACGGCGGTGTTGTTCTCCTCGAATGCATGCGGCTGCTCGACGAAAATTATGGCGCCGACGATCGCGTAGAGAAAGGCGTTTGACACGTCGATTTTGCGTAATGGGCGCTGCTTCACGGCGGTGTTGCAGTTTAGGATGCGTACAGAGGTGTGTCGCCCGACGGGCGCGAAGGTCTGATCGTAACCGATGAACTACGTCTATTCAAAGCCGCGCACCACCCAGCGTGCCTTGTACTTCTCGACTAAGCCGTTCGCGAGTGTCTTGATGCGAAATACCCACGTGTCGCTGAGATGTTTTCTCCCCTTTGCTGATACGCGTGTAACCAGCTTCCAGGTTCCGCACCGTTTGAGTGCACCAACTTCAACGGCCATGGCATCAGGTCCCTGCAGGGCCTGGCGGACAGTGGTGGGTTCGACGAGTTGCTTGTTACCACGGATGGTGACGACGAGTCCAAGGATGCGCAGTCCGGTGAGGTTGGATTGAGCTGTGTTGGTTACTTCGACCACGTCGTCGTCGTCGCCAGGTCGCGAACGGTGTTGCGAGAGGAGTTGAAGTTGGGGTCTTCTTCCATGGGTGAGTGCATTTCTGCACTTCCGTAGTCGAGTTGTGCCTGTACTGCTTCATGTGGATCAGGATCGGTTGGGATGAATGTTGCAGTGCCGAACTCTCCTGTAACGGGGACAAAGGGTGCCTTTCCTCCGATTTGATTTTCCGGTGCTTGTTCTGCCACGTCAACCTCGTCCTGATCACTTGCGTAGCTGTGCTGTCCCTGAAGTATGCAGTCTGGTGCGTCTTGTGCAGTGCGGTGCTAGCGGTATAGTGGCAGTGTCAGCCTTTCGTAGAAGATATAGTCACGTGAACGCGTGACTTGGTGGGTGGAGAAGTCGAGGATGGTCCAAGCATGGTACTTCGGTTTGATGCCGAGGTGGATGCCCTAGCGCGCGCGATCTTTACAATTTCCGGTCCGGGCAGTGTGGGGGCGGTACTGTACCATGCTGCCAAAAACTCGAAGCATGCGTGTGTCCGGGTTTTTGCCAGTACACTCCTTGAATGGTGAGTTGTTGTTGGGCAGGGCTTTGGAGGAGAGAATGTTGTGCAGTCGCACAGCATGTGCCATTGCGTAGGGCCAGTAAATGGTTGGCACGGCGGACTGCTTCATGAGGGGTCGCATTTTTGTCGCGAGGCTCTTGTTGGTTCTTTCCGCCAAACCCTGCTGCTAATGAGCGTAGGGAAGCGAGATCATCCTCTTGATTCCCACCTCTGCACAGAGGGTTTTGATCTCCTATGTTTGGTACTCCAGTGCTCCTTCTGTCTGGAAGGCCTTCAGCTTCTTGCCTTCACTCTGCGCTTCTGCCATTTTTAGCTACAGATAGAAGCAGTGGTACGCGAGGTGTCGGTTCGTGACGTTTGCAGCCCAGATGAAATGCATTCCCATGCCTGGGCAAGCCAGGCGCACAAGAATAAAGGTTGAGACTTGAGACGGTATCAGGAATGCATGCCCATGCGCTGTGACAAGCTCACTCACGGGTATGCATGCCTGTGCGCTGTGACAAGCTCACTCACAGGTATGCATATGCATGCCCGTGCCTGGGCGAGCCAGCCAGGCACACAACCTCCCAACATCTCAACTCATCTCTGCTCAATTTCCTATCCCTCTCCTCCATTCTCCCTGATCCCTGCTCCCCTCTTCCCCCCCACCCCCTTTATCCTTCAGAGCCATCACTGTGTCATTCTCAGGCACCATCCCCATCCGCATCTGCTCAACATCCCCATCCTGGCTCACTTTCTCTATCCCTTCCCACCATTCTTTCCAATCTCTCCGTCCTCTACCCACAACCAGGATGTGGACTGTGTCAATCTCAAGGCAGGATACCCATCCCCAGCAGCTCAACATCTGCATATCCCTCCATTCCTGCTCAGCCCCTTCCCTCTCCTTGTCCTCCCTCTCTTCTCTCCAACCCCTCCATTCTCCCCCCCTCTCTCACCAACAGGGCGCGGACTGTGAAGATCTCAAGACAGGTCAGGTGCGCAACACCTCATCTCCATCCCTGCTCACCTTTCCTATCCCTTTTCCCGCTCTATTCTCCTCTACCCCTCCAACCGCAACCCCCCTCTCCCACCATCAGGCCGTGGCCTGTGGCAATCTCATGGCGGGGCAGCTTCTCAACCCTGATCAACCCTTTCACTCTCCCTTTCCCCCCACCACTCTCCACCCCTCTCCTTCAGGATGTGGATTGTGAAGATCTCAAGGCGGGTCAGCTGCTCAACATCTCCATTCCCGCCTCGGCTCAAGTCTGCCGCGTTCGCTACTCTGTCACCCAGGTGCGTTACATGTCACCCAGGTGCGTTACATGTCACCCAGGTGCGTTACATGTGCACTGCTCTTTCACCCAGATGCGTTACCTGTCTCCCAGGTACGTTACATGTCTTCTTTCCAAGTGCGTTACAAGTCTACCAAGTGTGTTACATAAATGTGCATTACAGGTCACCCAGCTACACTGTCTATCTCTCCCCCCTCTCACCCCTTTCACCCCCTCGTTGATATGCACGCATTCAGCCATCAACACTCACTTCTCTTTAGTCTAATTAGAAGCGATTTGACCATGAGTTGACGTTTGAGTCGACTAAAAAGTCAACTCGACCCTCTCACCCTTTCACCCCCTCTATATTCACACATGCAGCCATCAAAACACACTTCTCTCCCCCCCTACTCCCCCTCCCTTCTCAACCCCTTCCTCATTCCCCACAGGCGGACGCAACAGAAACGAGCTGTAAACCCATCAACACACTCTTTGCCATCAACACACACTTCTCTCTCCCCCTTCCTCCCCTTCTCTTCTCAACCCCATCCTCATTTCCCTAGGCGGGCGCAGCAACAAAGAGCTGTGATCCCATCAGTGCTCTACCTCGTCCCACCTCGCTCCTCATTCCCCCTCCCCTGTCCGTCCCCTAAACCCTAAACTCTAAACCTGCTTCCCCCCGGCCGGATGCAGCAGCAATGACCTGTGATCCCATCAACGATCACTTAGGCATCGGTGCCACGACCATCACTGCTTGCTTGTTTCCCCCCTCACCTCCCTTCCTCCTCCGCCCTCACGCCCCCTCTACTGTCTGCCAGGCGGATGCAGCAGCAAGGACCTGTGATCCCATCAACGATCGCTTCGGCATCGACGTGACGACCATCAACCCCAGCCTCGACTGCACAAGCCTCGTGCCTAACCAGCAGGTGAGGCGAGTGGTGGGGTGTGGTTCCAGTGGTGTAGCAGGTGGTGAGGGAGGTGGGGGGGAGTAGGGCCATTGGGGCAGCAGGTAAGGAAGATTACATTTTGAGTCGACTCAAACGTAACACCGCTGGGGCAGCAGGTGAGGGAGTGGGGTGGAGAGTCAACATAGGCTTTAAGTACGTTTGCTTTGACGCCACCGACGTTAACTTGAGCGAGTGGCTCACGCACATCCCCCTCCCCTCGTTTTGAGACGTCTCAAAGCGAGTGGCTCACGCACATCCCCCTCCCCACGTGCCTCTCTATCCCTCTCTATCCGTATCATACCCTCTCATACCCTCTCGTACCCTTCCCCACCCCCTTTTTCGTATAGCAGATCTCACTCTTGTACGACCTGTGCTGTGCCAATGCCGTGAATTGGTACGGCATGTCGCGAATCCACCTCTACCGCCTCAACCCTACCTCTCCTCTCCTCATTCCCCCTCTCCTCCTCTCTCTCCTTCCCCCTCGCCTCCGCTCTCTCCTCCCCTCTCTCCTCTCCTCTCCTCCTCCCCTCTCCTTTCCCACCCACCGCAGATCTGCATTCAGGCGGGGGACGCGGTGTCAGGAGCAGCGGATTACAACCTGTGCACGAGCTACCTGCCGGTGAACGAGTGGACCACCTGTGCCAACGCTGTGGAGTGGTACGGCCTCTCCTGGTTCGACCTCTACCGTCTCAACCCCGGCCTCAAATGCGACAGCTCTCCTCACTCACTGCCTCCGAGGTACCTAAGACGGGTGGCACAAAGGGGGAAGTGGCGGGGAGGGGGTTGGGGGGACTGGCACTTGCGGTGCGACTGGAAGAGGTACCTCTTAGGGCTGGCACTTGAAGAGGCGGCTCTAGCGGGGCTGGCGCAAAGGGGGGGTGAAACGTTATTCCTCAAACCCGAGATTTTACTAAACAAATGCTCGTTTTTCGCGCTCCCCGTCCTCCCCCCTCCCCGTCCCCCCTCCCCACCCCCCCCAGATCTGCATCGCCGGCACGCCTTTGGGAGCGGTGGCGTGCGGTAAAGCGCGGTCGAAGACGGTGGCGAACCGGCGGTACACGGTGGTGGGGGGCGGGGGGACAGCTGTGCGTCGCTGGTGGTGGTGCAGTTCCAGCGCCAGCCGCCGCTCGTGGTCGACCTCAACCACGGCTGGATGTGCCGCTCCCAGAGCCTCTTCCAAGGCATGCATCCCAAAAATTGGTGCTTCAGAAAGCTACGTTGGGGTATCGTCAGAGTTGCGGGAGGGGTTGTTTTTCAGGAGCTACGTTCACGACTATGGGAAACATACGTTCCCAGAGGGTTTGAAGCTCGGCATCTGTTCGCAGGTTCGGCAAACGTATGTTTCAGGGTATCGTGAAGGTAAGTTTGAATCTCAACCTGCATTTCAACCTCGGCTCTCCCAGAATGTAGGCCCGTTCCAGATTCGCTGACGAACACCGTGCGGGTGTTTCTTGAAATTTGTAACTCATTTTTGTGTGGATGCGAAAAAACGATTGTGTCCACGTGTCTGATTTCTGTAAGCTGAAAATGATGCGGAATCCTCCGTTATAGACCAGCTCGCTACAACTATTGTCTACAATATTAAAAACAAATTCATTAATCACATTCATCAACAGCTGTAAACCACCACAAGATCTGACGGTCGTTGCTTCGACACGTGTCCTACGATCCTTCCGTTTCACATTCGCGTTATAGACGACCTCGCCCGTCATAACCTGGTAACTACGATAATAATATGTAACACGATTATTATAAACATGCTGGTTAATATACAATGTTTCGCTTGCATTTCAATCAATTGCATAATATACTTGTTTCTAAAAAAATATATATTTAAAACACACCCATTGCATCCAGGTTTAATCAATACAACCTAGTGGGATATGCAGTACAACTGGTAGTTTAATGTTTGACCCAGTCACCATTATCAAAAGAGCTTTTTAAACAGCTCCTTATAAAAGCTGAGTATGAATTTAACCTGCACACAGAGAAAAGCGGTGTTGGAAGTCAGCAACATTTCATTTGATGCCCAGAGGCAGAAAAACAAGGAACAAAAAAATGGGCACTTACCCCTATCAGCCTGCAAAGAGGTCCTTTTGGAACCACGAGCAGGCTGGCTGCGATACATGGTGTTAACTCATGGCATGTCACAAGAGCTAGGCAACTTGCGGGGGGGGGGGGGGAGAGGAAGGGTGGGGGGAGGGGGGGGGAAGGGGAAGGAAGGAGGCATGGAGGTGAGGGAGGTATGGGCGGAGTAGTGGCCACCTGGGGCTTGGCAAAACGTTTCCTGTGGTGGGAGCAGATGAAGGGGGGAGAAGAGGGGGAAGGGGAGGAGGCGGGAAAGAGAGGCAGCAGGAGGGGAAAGGGCAGACGGGTTGAGAAGGGGAAGTCGAACACGTCGCCGCCCTGAGGGGAAGGGGGGTGGGAGCGCACGGTTGGGGAGCGAGGGAGGCAAGCGCATGAGAACATGAGGGCGGATGGTTGGGAGGGGAGAGAGAAGTAGCGCGGGAGAGGGAACATGACGGCAACGGCAGAAGCAGGGCCCCACAGCTCCTAGCTACACTCGTTACACTCACGACGCTACACTCACCTGCTTAAAATCACAAATCGCCGCGCTCACAACTGCAGCAGCTCCACCACGCACGCACTGCGATCGTCTCCCACCAATGCGCTGCAGGCGGGGGGGATCGCAGCGCGGAAAGGGATGGGTGAGCGGAACGAGGGTAGGCTGGGCGCGGAGACTGCGGGGTGCAGCCCTGCGCTGGGTGCGCGACATCGCGGTGCACGCCAGCGCTGGGTGCGCGACATCGCGGTGCACACCAGCGCTGGGTGCGCGACATCGTAGTGCACACCAGCGCTGGGTGCGCGACATCGTAGTGCACACCAGCGCTGGGTGCGCGACATCACAATGCACACCAGCGCTGGCATGCGAAGCAGCGGCGCGACAAGCAGCGCTGGCCTGCGCGGCTGCGGGGAGCCGCCCAGCGCGTGGTTGAGCGACGGGAGGGTTCAGGCCAGCGGCGGCCTGCGCGACAGCGGCGCCTACATCTTGTGGGAGAACGACAGCACGGCGCATGTGGCGCAGGGGTGGAATTTCCGCGCGCCGCTACGTGTAAAAAAAGGAAACGGGGGGGAGAGAAATACGTGAGAAAAAAGGGAAGTTGGAAACATGAACAAGAACAAGAGGAAAGGCACGATCCGGAATACTTGTTTCACAGCAAACTAAGCACAGGCTCACGATACAAGCCTACCGTTGCGACTGTGTGGAGCCCGCAGGTCGCGATCCACCGTCGCCAATGCTTACGACGCGCCGAAGATGAGGAATAGAGTGAGAAAAAGTGTCATGGGGATGAATGCTGGCTGGGAATCGTCAGTCTAATCTCACAACATGAGGATTGAAGTCGAAGTTGAAGGGATGCTTGAACAGAAATGGGAACACATGGAAGAAATAACGAGTCGGAGAAACGACGAGAGAATGAAGGGGGACTCAAACTAGGATTGGTTGTCAGGTTCTATGGTCACGATTCTGCGATAGAATGAGTTTGGCGGGATCGACAGCCCAGATTAAAAATCGTTTCAACCGGCACGCTCGCCTGTTGCGTGGCAGAAAAGCAGGTGGGGGAGGATATCTGGAGTTGCGTCGAAAGCGGAAATCCGTCGATAGAACACTTGGTGATAAAGGAGGAGTGGCACCGACCAATCCACGCTCTTATGGGGGCTTGAGAAGAAAACTAAACAGTACGTGGTGTACTCTGTTCATCACACAGCTTGTTTCACCTAACCAAACCCATATTATATAGATTAGATCATGCATTTTTGTAAGGAAAGAATCTAAATTCCTAACCGCGCACCTGCATAACACGTACAACGCCCGACCATTCTCCGCCCGTTACTCAATACGCCACTCCGTTCGTCACTTTTACCATATCACGCACTGTTATGTTTGGCCGAGTCGGCCTTCGCTTCGGGCTAGCCCAACCTAACTCCGAGCACAGCACTAGCTCACTAGCCAGCGACTGTCAAGGATAGAGCAAGATCTCCAAACATTGCGGAATTGCGACGCGAGAACCTTCTCGCAATCTGCACAACCTGCTCAACTGGCCACGACTGACCGTGGAATCGCCCCTCACACCTTTTCCCTTGATTCATGGAGTTTTGCACTAGAGCTCCTACTACAGACAACGCAGATCTACCACTACTTCGACGGCTCCTACCCAAGTCTGGTAACTGACACTGAAGACGCCCGGGCTGAGTACAACAACAACAACAACAACAACAACAACAACAACAACAACAACAACAACAACAACAACAACAACAACAACAACAACAACAACAACAACAACAACAACGACGACAGGATAGGCCTGTGCGCAACAAGTCACTGCGCCAACGTCTAAATGCCTTTCGGAATGAACAGTAAATTCCCCCTTAACACTACCCCCCTCCCAAGGAGGCGACGTCCGCGGCGCCTGCAGACTGAAGGTACGCTTGGAGGCAAGCGTTGTCAGGAGACAGCGAGGACGAAGGAACCCAGCTGTCGTCGGCTGCATCGTAACCACGCCAACGAACCAAGAAGTCAATGAAAGAGACACCCCCCTGGAGACGGCGTCGGTGCCTGAGGATGCGCTGGATCTGGTAGTCGGGCTCGTCGGTGTCAACAGCTACCGGCAGTGGATTGCGATCACGGCCCGAGAAGGTGGCGTTGGGATCGGTGTATGGACGAAGGAGAGACACGTGGAATGACGGGTGCATGCGGAAATGAGCGGGAAGGCGAAGGCGGTATGCGACTGGACCTAGTGCGCGCTCAATGACGAATGGACCAATGAAACGAGGGCGAAGCTTGCTGTCCTGTGGCAGTCGGAGGTTGCGGCTGTCGAGAAGGACACGGTCGCCAACTGAAAACGACACCTCACGACGACTGCGGTTGGTGGTGCATGCCATGCGTGCATTTGCGAGCTCAAGGTGCTTCCTCACGTGATCATGAATGAAGGTGAGATGCTGGTGGAAGTTGTCCGCACGAGGGACTGTGGGTGTGAGATCGACACGAGTGGGGACATTGGGGTGCTGACCGTACAGTGCGAAGAACGGTGACATGCCTGTGGACGAGTGGTGCGTGTTGTTGTAGGCGAACTCGGCCATGCTCAGCTTCTTGTCCCATGCGGCTGCGTCGTGCATCGTGATGCTGCGAAGGATCTGCTCCAAGGTCTGGTTCACACGCTCAGTCTGTCCGTCTGTCTCTGGATGGTACGCTGACGACATGGCTAAGCGAGTCCCAAACAGTGCGAAAAGCTGCTTCCAGAACTTCGAGGTGAATCTAGGGTCGCGGTCGGAAATGATGGAATCTGGAACCCCGTGCAGTCGGACTACGTTATCTACGAACAGCGTCGCGACTTCCTCTGCTGTGACCTTGCCGTGCGTGGGGATGAAGTGCGCTGCTCGAGAAAACTTATCCACTACCACGAAGATGGCGTCGTGACCCCTAACTGTGCGCGGTAAAGCCATGATGAAGTCCATCGTAACTACCTGCCAAGGGCGGTCGGGTGGTGGAATCGGTTGCAAAAGTCCTGCCTTGCGCTGGCGAGAGGACTTCGTACGCTGACACGTGTCGCACGAGCGAATGTAATCCTCTACGACTGCTGCAAGCCCTGGCCAGAAGTACGTGCGACTAAGCGTCTTAGCCGTCTTATCTGCTCCAAAGTGACCTGCGCTAACTACATCGTGCGCCTCGGAAAGAAGAAGCTGTCGAAGAGGGCGGTAGGCTGGAACCCAAATCCGTGTGGTACCCTTCCGTATGTAGACACTACCCTGCACCTCTGCTCCTGCGGGCGGCTGCGGTGTGAAGTCGGGATCTACTGTGTAACCGTGCTCGAAGAGTGCTGTGAGAAGTGGGTGGCCGGCAGTGACTGTGAGACTAGCGAGCTGGCAACTAGGGCGAGTGAGCGGATCTGCTGGGTTGCGCACGCCTGGCTTGTACTCTATCCTGTAGTGAAAGCTCCCCTCCATGAACTCCATCCACCTAGCCTGGCGACGACTCAGCTGCGGCTGCGACTTGAGGAAACGAAGTGAACAGTGGTCCGTGCGTATAACACTATCTTCCCCCTCTAGGTAGCACCTCCACACCTTATACGCATGGATGATCGCGAGCGCCTCCTTGTCGTGAATCGGATAGTTCAGCTCCGCTCCCCTAAGCTTACGCGACTCGTACGCGATCGGCTGCAACCCGCGTCCCTGGTCCTGAAGAAGCACTGCTCCTATGGCCCGATCTGATGCGTCGGTCACTACAACGTATGGGCGAGTGGGATCTGGGTACGACAGTGTCGGTGAAGACGTGAGCGACTGCTTCATCTGCTCGAACGCCTGCTGCTGCGCTGGACCCCAATCGAAATTTACGCCCTTCCGATTTAGGTCGGTGAGTGAACTAACGATCGATGCGTAACCCTGAACGAAACGACGATAGTAATTGGCGAATCCGAGAAAGCTCTGCAACTCCTTGACTGAGGTCGGTGCTACCCAATCCTGTACTGTTGCGATCTTCTTCGGGTCGGTCCTAATGCCACTAGCGGATACGACGTGTCCTAGGAACTCGACCTCAGGAAGAAAGAACTCGCACTTTGACTGCTTCGCGTATAGCTTCTCCTTCCGTAAGACCTCGAAGACCTTCTGCAAGTGCTGCACGTGCTCCTCTTTCGTCTTTGAGAAGATCAAGATGTCGTCTAGGTAAACCACGACGAACGAACCTAGGAACTCGGAGAGGACAGTGTTCATGAGCGTCTGAAACGTCGCTGGGGCGTTGGTCAAACCGAACGGAAGAACCCTGAACTCGTACAACCCCTGCTTCGTACGAAACGCCGTCTTGTGCTGGTCCTCTGGAACTACACGAATCTGGTGGTAACCGGAACGAAGGTTGATCTTTGAGAAGACTCTAGCGCCCTGCACTGCATCGAGAAGATCCTCTACTCTCGGAGCCGGGAATCTATTCTTGACGGTGGCGGCGTTCAGTGCGCGGTAATCTATGCACATCCGTAACCCTCCGTCTTTCTTGGGTGCGAAAAGGATCGGTGCGGCCCAAGGCGATCTAGATGGCTGTATGAAACCCTGTGCAAGAAAGTGCCTAACCTGCTGCGTCATCTCCTCTGTCTCCGCTGGACTCAACCTCCACTGCGGCTTCGCTACTGGCCTGCTCCCCGGCTCTAACTCTATCCGATGGTCGACTGCTCGGCTAGGAGGTAACCCTGGGGGCAACTCGTCGGGGAAGACGTCTCTAAACTCCGCTAAGAGCGCACTCACTTCAGCAGGAAGAGTTGTCTTATCGCCAACTGCTGCGCTCCCTCCTTTCCCCTCCTCAGCTTCCATCTCCTCAAGGAAAACCGCGAAGATCCGCGCTGCACGCTTCACTAACTGTCGCACACGAACAGCATTAATGATAGCTGCGGAGGATGTGGCCGCATCGCTCCACTGTGGCAGCTCCCGGAACTCGCCATCTACCTTGACGCTGCAGCTTCCCTGAGCCCAATCGAACTGAGTACTGACCGTCCGCAACCAATCTCTACCGAAGATGAAGTCGTAACCGTCCAGCGTCGCAGAGTCGAAATGACGCCTAACTGTGATGGGTCCTAGCACTACGCGCAACTTGCGAATGACCGGTCCTATGTGGAGAGGCGTCCCATCTACCATGCGTGCATCCTTGAAGTTGACTGCCGGATCTGCTTCGAGATGGAGACGACTAACTAACGATGAAGACACGAACGAGTGGCTAGCTCCGCTATCTACGAGAATCTTAACAGGAACTCCGCGAAGCTTCCCTAGAAGCACGACTGGTCGGTCAACCGTGTCTACCTCGTTCTCCGTAGATGACTGCTGCAAAGCCGTCTCCTCTACGTTGGTAGACGTGGCGGGTACGGGAACCTCCACACCAGCTAGCGACCCGCTATCTACTGGCGGTCTTCGTTTCCCTGCTGCCGTTCCTTAAGCTGTGGGCAGTCCCGCTTCATGTGTCCCGGCTTTTTGCAGTAGTGACAGTCCCCCCTAAAACCCGTCTTCTGTGAGCCGTCACTGTTAACTGCACCAATCTCC